TGAAATATTCCTCTCGAGTTAGAAAGCCATCTCGGTAACAGATAATTGATAGGGAGATAGGGAGATAAATTCGAAATAAAAAAGAAACAAGTTGAATGTCGAAGCTTGTTAAGGGAGAGGGAGAAAGAGAGGGAGACTGAAGATGCACAAATCAGCTGATTAAACAGCTGATGTGCCTGAGAAAGGTGCTTGCTTGGCGCTTGCCTTTGCAATTTCAAGCATGGAGATGAACTTGCTTTTCACTGCACTTCAGACAAGGTGTCAAACTTGCTGGCCATAGCAGTTGCTGGTTAGAGGATGGATTGTGCTTCTCAATTGCAGGCTGAATGGAAGGTATTAAGCTGATGTAGGTTATTCATGAAGGTAAAATTTTGTTGCATATTTTTTGCAGGTTATGCTGAAGGAAGCTGCTGCTGTTCTCCGAGTCGATTTTTGGATTTGATTTATGATTTGTAATTTTTTTTTATCACTTTCAGGGATGTAATTACATAGAGCTTATTTTGATAGACTAATTTATTTCAATTTGTAGATCTTTTTATCAGAGGAGGAGTTAATCCATAAAGCAAACATAATTCTATATATATTTATAAATTTTCCTTGGTAACTTCAAATATCAAGTATATGTAGATTAAAATTGTTATTGGAATCAGGATAATAAAAAAAAAATGAATAGTACTAGAATAGTTGCTTTGAATAAAAAAAAAAAGAATAAATAATTTTTCTTTGTTTTGTGGCTAATACCAAGCTAAATGATTGCAAGGATATTGGATATCTTTGCACAGGGTACAATTTTGCTAAAGGATTCGGAATCTGACCTTGACAACTGGTATCCTGTCCTGTCCCACATCTTGTCTGTCCTCTCCAGGGGTTGTCAGTTTGTTAATAAAAGGTTGAAAGAAAAAGCTACTTATTTAAGTATAACACAGGGTAGTTGTGTTTGTGGGGAGTAAAAATACTGATAGGTATGGTAATTTAGATATATTTTTAGTATTGTTAGTATATATATATTTTTTTCCATTTTTAGGTCAGACTTGGAAAAATGAGAAGAAATGCACACTTATTAAGTCTTGGCAACTCTACAGGGTTTAGAGACAGACCTGCCCTGAGGCTGTTATAGGGATGTTGGATGGAGAATTCCTTCAGTCTGGAATTATAGGACCTTATATTAATCTAATCAAATTTAGGATTATCATGACTGTATTTGTGATCCGTAAGATAATTTCCCCTCATGTATTGTGTGTTTATTGATAAGGGGTCAGAGTAGAATCTGTCTTGGGGGCAGAGTTAGGAAGTACCCTAGACTGGGTATCATATTACATAATCTATCTGATTAAATGTTACTGGGGTGTCCAGGCTGAAGACTGGACCTTTTGCTTCATAGATTCTTTCCTTTCCTTTGTCTTTTGTATTCTTGTATAATCATTTGGCGTAGTCATTGAATTATTTTGGTTGAGTAAAATAAAACGGATATATATTTTTTTAGAATATTTAGGGTATGCTACAGATTATACAGTAAAGATTATGAATGGTTTTCTCTTTAGATTAATTTATTCCTGGGCTTCTTATAGGGGACTGAGCAGAAAGCAAGACTTGGAATAGATCCTGATAGAATACTTTGTGTACCACTATAAGCCTAACGCAGTTGCCAACTCCTCTGTGGTTCAGCAGATTTAGGCATAGTGTTATTCTAGTTGATTTACTAATTTTCCTTTGACTGCAAAGGATATTTGTGTTTTGAAATTGCAAGAAAAAAAAAGAAAATATTTTTTATGTAAGATGATGATAATGGCCATTTTGAGTGTTGTTTATATGGTTTGTCACTGATCTCAAACTGAATGCCTCTAAAAGCATTCTCAGCAGTTTCTTTCAGCCTCAGTTGTTTTATGGCATCCAATCATTTGTATATAAATCTGTGGGTATTTATTTGGCGTGTTGATTCTGTTTTCAAAACTGGCATGAAAAGAGGAGTTATTCTTTATGGGAATAGGTCTGTATAAATTTATAAGAAACTTCTATTTTTTGTTTTAGCTTGTTGAACTTTCAGGAACCTTGAGTTGGTTTGAACTTAAAATTATATTTTTAACAAGCTGAGGAATTACAGCAGTTATTGTTCTCGGGCATGTGCAAAGTGGGTAATGAGTAGCAAAACCTGTTCCATCTAATCAGATGGAATAAGCATAATAAATATGGAAATTAGCATGGTTTGAGGAGAAACAATGTATGTTAAAGTAGATTCCCCTTGTTTTTTTTTACTGTGTATATAAATCTTTTAACTTTGAATTCTTTTAGTGATTAAGTATCATTTCATTCTGAATTTGTGTTTCATGTTTCTTGTTTTTACACTTATTCCTGAGGTGGTTGAAATACCCAGTTTGTGTTATGTAAGTTTGGTGAAAAGAGTAAGCTAGGATAGACAACACAAAGGGAAGTAAAAATTATGCACGTTCATGGTCAGAATTTATCCTGTCATTTCCTGCTTACCCCCCCTCTCCATCTCGGCATCAGGTGCATGACGAGCGAGCTTTATAGAGGTGGATGTGGGGGGAACTTGAGGGAACAGTAAAGCTTAAAATATTATTTTGTATGCCTTGAAAGCTATATTTATCAGAAGCTACTTGAAAACAGTACCACTTTTATCTCTTTTTAATGAGCTTTATATAATAAAAAGAAATAAAAATCCTGTAACTCTTACATTGAATTTTAAGGGTTTCTGACATCTGTCTTGTTCCTAGTTCTTAGCTTTGGCTTACATGCCTAGAAGTCCAGATTACACTGCTGTGATGTCTTTTTGTTTTGATAAAAGCCCAAGGACACTGTGATACACATAAATGCATACATATACAGTAGTAATAGTTTATATGTAATATTTTCAGCATTTGATTTTTATTTAGATTAATGTAGAAGTAATAATTAGACCTAAAACATTACACTTGGCACAAGCTCATGTCATTGACATATGAAAGTTATTATAACACTGACAGTTTGTTGATCCTTCCAGTGTGGAGATTGGGGAGAGCGTCCGAGGTGAAGATGTGTACATCGTGCAAAGCGGTTGCGGGGAGATCAACGACAATCTCATGGAGATGCTCATCATGATTAATGCATGCAAAATCGCCTCTGCAGCCCGAGTAACGGCAGTCATTCCATGTTTCCCTTATGCTAGACAAGACAAAAAGGATAAGGTTTGTTTATACTCATATTTCAGGACCATTTTATTTTATTTTATTATTTTATTATTATTATTTTTTATTATTCCTTTAACTTTCTTAGGATATTTTTGTTTTTGTCTTTTAGGATTTTTTTTTTTTTTTTTTTGCATTAACCAGTTTTTACATAGTAGTGATGGTTGAGACCTTATGTTTTATATATGTATGTATGGAACTAGCTCTTTGAAGAATATGAAAGATTTTACAAATTAATAGAGTTGAGTGCCTATGGGACTATTATTTTTTTAAATATGGTCATCAATGCAAGTTACATGTAATAAGTCTGTTTGTACATTAAAGTTATAGAACATTATTTTTGTTTTAGAAAAGAGAAATCACATTATTTTGTCAGTCGTATAAGGTTATTCCATTGTGTAATTAGATAACCAAATGTTTAATGATTAATTTCATATTGTAAAAAATGGTATAGTTAATATTAATTTTAAGACTATAATAAGTAGTCCATGAATTTATAATCTAATTCTGTAACTCCTTTTGAAAGCATAGATTTTAGTAGTGGCTAGGGTGCATGAATGTAAAACAAGGCTGTATGTCTACAACCTGTGAACTGTTAACAAATTAATTTTGGGGAAAATGCATGTGCAAAATTCACAAAGGAATATTGACATTAGATTGTAATTATTGAGGAATTTATATTGGACTTATAATCTGGTTGGATGCTCTTTGTGGTTGTTAGAATCAGTTTGCTATAAGCTGGCAAAGTTTCTTTTTGTTTCTGTATTTACTTATATCCTTGTTCTTATCACTGGCAAAAGAGATTTAAGTTTTTCTAATGCAAAAGATCAATGAACGGCTGATCTTAAAAATCTTGCCAGAATTACTGCCTTGCTTTGATGAACTGATGTTAGCAAACCACACTTATGTTATTCTAATTGTTATAAGTATGAGGAGAATAGCCTGTTAAACATAGTCAAATATAATGTGTAAGCTCTGCATGCCCTTGGAACTCAAAAAATAGATTCATTCCTGAGGTTGATGCTTGGGGTTTAGTGAATATGAGAATCGGCATCACTGATTGGCTGTCATGGAAGGTGTTGGTGTGGCTGATTGCATCTGCCCCTAAAAAAGGCTAGCCAATCAGCCGCTAGAATGCTGCCAGTGCCACCCAATCGGCAACTGTGATGTTTGCGATGCCAACCAAGCAAATGTCGGATTGGAGTTTTCTCTTGACCTCAAATATCTCCTTTGGATTTCTATTTGGTAGCAGGTACTTAGGCCCCCATTATGAATTTTGGTTTTATATTTCTGAAATGGTTTGCTTGTATTCTTTTTATTTTCTCTCATCTTTTTAAGTTATGTTTAGAAGTTTGAACTGTCAAATTGAGATGTTGCTAGATTATTTGAATTTGCACGTCAGGGATTGTCCGTCCGTGACTTTAACATAGCATGCTTTTGACCCTAATGGCTTGGCTTTTTCAGGAACAGGTGGCATATAGGCCTCTAGTAAGTTTCTATCCTTGAATAGTTATTTTTTGTGTTGTGCATGTACTGTGTTTTTGTTTGAAGATGATTGAGTGAGCGAATAAATGCTGAAGATGTCCCTTTCTTAATAATTGATATGTGGCTTCATGAAATTATGAATTATGATTTTGTTTTTAACTTGTTAATTATTATGAGGTCATGATACTTCAGTTTATATTTACATTTTACTGTACTGTGTGCTTTTTACTTATTTACATTTTCATAACTGAATTGAGTTGTGTGATTCAGATTGTCATATAGGGATTGGATAATACAAATTAAGTAATTACAGGAGGAGAAAAAATTCCTTTTTTTTTTTTTTTTGTAAAGAAGTAAAAAGCATGAAATACAGGCCATGTTACAGGCTTAGGCCAAATAATAAATTTGTTTGCTTTTCTTGTTTATTCCACTCAGAAGACTATAAAAGGCTGGTTATAGATTGAATTATATTACACTGTCGACAATTGTCACCCTATAATGAGACTGGAAGAAGGGGTTAAACGCTTTCCTCTCTTGTCTTCATGCAGTCACGAGCCCCAATTTCTGCCAAACTTGTTGCCAACATGCTCTCCGTGGCTGGCGCTGACCACATCATCACCATGGACCTCCATGCCTCTCAGATCCAAGGCTTCTTCGATATTCCTGTCGATAATCTTTACGCTGAGCCTGCAGTCCTCAAGTGGATTCGGGAGAACATACCGGAGTGGGGCAATTCCATTATAGTCTCTCCTGATGCCGGTGGTGCCAAAAGGTGGGTGGTGAAGAAAGGGCAGTTTGGAAGGTTCTATATTGTTGGCAGACGTTACTAGAGACTGTTTAGGGTCTATGGTTAGCCTTTTGTTAGTGCACCTGAGATGGGAGGTTAAGTTAGAAGGATTTTCTGGCTCGTTATTTATAAAATTGTGTTACCAAGTATTTAAATTAATTTATTTTTATTTTTTTAATACTCTGGTAATGTTTTCTGTTAATACTGTATATTACTTTCATGGTTACTTCAAGGGCCAGATCATAACCAAACCAAGTTATCTCTTTTCTGACCATTGAATTTTTGCTCCTGTGAAAAAAAACAATGGACGTATGAGAAGACTTTTCTCAACTTACATATTTGAAAACCTGTCACTCTTTATACCTGAAGGACACCAGCAACTGAATCAGTTCTCCCTTTTCAGAGTCACTTCTATAGCTGACCGACTTAACGTAGAGTTTGCCTTGATTCACAAAGAGCGCAAGAAAGCCAATGAGGTGGCTTCGATGGTGTTGGTTGGAGACGTGAAGGACCGCATTGCCATCCTGGTTGATGACATGGCAGACACCTGTGGCACAATTTGCCATGCTGCTGAAAAGTAGGTGGTTTCTTGGTTTGAACAGGAGGGCAGCGCGAGGGATGTTTTAAATAAGTATATGTGAAGGGCATTTTTATGAAGTGTTTTGTAAAATTTTAGCACTGGTAAAAAGTAAAATTCATAAAGAGAAACAAACAAACAAACAAAAATGTAGAGGAAAAGTATGAGAAAGAGCCATTAATTATAGAAATAGTCTTAGCAAAAAGGAACTACTTCAGACATATGAAATATCTTTTCAGGCTCATGGAGGCTGGAGCAACCAAAGTGTACGCCATCCTTACTCATGGCATCTTTTCCGGCCCTGCAGTCACTAGGATCAACAATGCATGCTTTGAGGCTGTCGTAGTCACCAACACGATACCCCAAGAACAGCACATGAAGGAGTCTAATAAGATCCAGGTATTTGTGGCACTTTTGTGAACAGGTTCTTTGAACACAAAATTTTATTTCTTCCAAAAGTTTTCCTGAGTAATGATAGTTGATTTTGTATTTCCTTGGGCTTTGAAGAAAGAATCAACAAAGTTAGTTTAGTGTGAGAGATCTTATGATGTAGGCATGTCTTTATATATAGATTTGTATATAAGTTTTTCTTTAGATTTCTTACTCTCATTCACTAGTTTAAGGTACATATTATTCATAAAGAAAAGGATGTGGGAAAGATATTCAGATCAGTATCATAGGTTACCTTTAACATTTACTTTGGATTCAAAGGGAAATTATAATGCAAGGTTAAGTCTGATGAATAGTGAAAAAAATCACATTATATTGTATATTTTTTTCTTTTTATAGAGAACAGTAGAGTGAAATGATGATGATGATTAGCAGTTTTGTACAAAATCAAAAATCATATGCATGCATGTTTTGTAACACAGACTTTCCAGCATTTTATCTGTTTGTGTTTTTTTTTTTTGCAATTTTCTGTATATGACTAATGAACAAGGCCTAATTATTATGTGTGCTTTTTTAGTTTCAATGTAGACTTTTATTTTGTAAATGCTTTTACTTAAAATTAGCTTTTGTAATGGTAGAGGTGATTAGCTTTTAATTAGATAGTTTTACTTTAGTTTAGAGTATGCACAGTATGGCTATACATCAGATAGTTGCAAGAATGTCTAAGTTCCTACATTTGTATAATTTGGCAATAAGTAGTTTTAATTTGGTGTAGATGTAAGTCATGGTGACAGCCTAATCTGTATATCTGAATCTACTGACGAACGGTTTTGTACAGCGACTCCTCTCTTCATGTGCAGTGCATGCCTTTGGGTCTCCTAAACTTTAAACATTAAAACATGTTGCATGTGTAATTGATACATTGGTTGGCCAGAATTTTTGCACCCAGAAGACGGTGAATAATGCTCATGATTTTGCATTATATATTATGAATGTACAAAGCTTATGGGGAATGCATGTAATAGTATTCAACAACTATAAGCCCAAAGTGAATAAGAAGTGAAAACTTGTGTACTTTTTAACATTTTGTTGCCTACAAAAAAACAAAACAAAAAAACTTTTGCATAAACAAGGATTTAGCTATGTATGCAGTAGTGTTCTTTTTGAGTTTTATCTGTGTATCCTATTTAACATCTTGATATACAGATGCAGCCCACTTTTCACATGCAATTCATGAATGAACTGTGTAATTTAAAATAGCTACTGTTCTATGGGCAAAAAGTTCAATCTGTTGAAAAGAAATTCTCATTGGAGTAATGATTGGAAGGCATTGTAACAAAGGTAGTTTTAAGAATTGTAAGTATAACATTTCCACCTTCCCTCCTCCCCAGTTCCTCCTCCTCCTCCTCCTCCTCCTCCTCCTCCTCCTCCTCCTCCTCTTCCTCCTCCTCCTCCTCCTCCTCCTCCTCCTCCTCCTCCTCCTCCTCCTCCTCCTCCTCCTCCTCCTCCTCCTCCTCCTCCTCCTCCTCCTCCTCTTCCTCCTCCTCCTCCTCCTCCTCCTCCTCCTCCTCCTCCTCCTCCTCTTCCTCCTCCTCCTCCTCCTCCTCCTCCTCCTCCTCCTCCTCCTCCTCCTCCTCCTCCTCCTCTCCCCTTCA